ATTGTTGGGTAAGGGCACTACACTTCCCATTCTCTCCTATGTATTCATTTTGGTTGATCAAACTTTGAGAAAGGGAGAGAGAGCCGGCTGTTAAAGAGAGAGAGGGAGAGAATTGTGTAATTTGTGACTCAAGCTTGGAGATTTAGAGTCTAGTTCAAGAATTAGCCATAGATTGGGCTTATGGGTAAGTATTGATTCTTGAATTCATGAAATTAATGTGTGATCTTGTGTGTTCAAGGGTTGTCTATGACCAAGAGCATGAGTTAAGTTGTTTTTGTTGGAATTAAAGCTTGATATATGCATGTATGTAAGAAATTGTTTTGAAATAGCATGTATAAGCTTGAAATACATGATTCATGTAGGGTTTTGATTGAAACTCATGTTTTGATCACCATTTGTGTTGTCTAAGTTGAGAATGTGGCTAATTCATCACATGCATGTACAATTTATGAAGATATGAGCTTGAATGTATGAAATTGTCATGTTGGAGTTGAGTTTAGTGCCAATTTGGGACATGCATGTGGTTAATTCATGAACTTGAGCTCTATGATGATGTGTTTTGGTATTTATATCATGTTAGTACAAATATAGGTGAAGTTGGAGCCATGTTATGCAAGAAATGTGGTTGGAATGTTTGAAGGGAACTCAAGAACACAATTTGGAATTTCCAGAATTTTGGTGTCCGCTCGAGCGGGGAAACCGCCGCTCGAGCGTAAATTTCATGCTCCCAGCACTTTTTGCAGAGTTGGATGTTCGCTCGAGCAGGATACTTCACGCTTGAGCGGGGAGCCTTGTAGACAGGCCTTCCGCTCGAGCGCCCTAACTCACGCTCGAGCGTAATTTTGAGGTAGCCAATACTTTTGCAGGCCTCTTGGGTCCGCTCGAGCGGGGACCCTATTTTCTGAAATTTTGTATGTTTGCTCTGTGTTTTGTTTTTCGTTCTCTTTCACTTGTAAGAACTCATAGGCATATGTTAAGCATTATAAATGGGTTAAAGATATAAAAGTAAAGCCTAAAGAGGAATATGCGAATTAAAGAATGGATTGAACTGTTAGTGTCATGAACCGAAACTGCCCCTAAAAGTTTGGGCATGACTACCTCCGACACAGACATCAAAAGCGACATAAGTAACATATGGGCCTGAACGGAAGCACCTGATAACAAAACGAACTCTATTCCATCGAGCTACCACTAGTATGCCAGGACTGCAAACATCATAATAGGTAAATGATACACAGAAAAGATATACCCAAGCATTATTCACATACATGTACACACTTAAAACCAGCCCCCTAATCGGGCGCATAACCAAAACATGAATGAGAAGGGCTTGTATACAGTCAACCATAGACAGACAACTAAAGCATAAACCGAAAACTTAACAAACTTTACAAAATGCACAGGCTTCATCCAAAGTGCCTGGGCACCCTGAGGTTGACAAAAGAGAGACAAGCCTTAAAGGTTAGGACTGGCTTCCCGGTTGTTTACCTACAGAAACAGACAAAATACAGGGTGAGCAAGGCTTAGTGAATAATAGCACTCAAACAATTTAATGATTAAACTTGAATTGTAATATTTAAAACGTATATAAGTGCAGAGGTCATATAATTACTCTTGTCTTGTAAACATTTTCAGAACGGCCTTAGGCCTAATGGCGTTACAAATTAGCCATAGGCACACAGATTCTACAGATTGGCCATACGCCTAACAGATTTCACAGGTTGGCCGTAGGCCTCATAGATTTCACAGATTGGCCACCGGCCCAGATATAACAGATTCATATATATATTCATAATCATTTTCATGCTCAAATTTTGCATATAATCATACGTGGTTAGATAGATATTTCCACCAGTAACAAATAGGAAGCCAAAAGTCATGCAAATCACATAATATACCCATAATTTATCTTATTCACTTAATTAGCATCCTTAATTACTGATTAGTGGCTGATTACGGATCGAGATTGTTACAGTCTCCCCACCTTAAGAAGTTTGGTCCTCTAAACTCAAGTTTACATATGCCAAAAGAAATGATGTCCATCATAAATGTAACTTTCACTCTTTATAACAGAAGCGTAACATAAACATGCTCATGACCCAATCTCGATGTTATCTCAGTACCAGAAACAGAGTCATAAATCATATACAGAGATTAGGGTTCAAATTTAAACAGAGTCTTATACACATTCAGATTTTAGTCAAGAACAGATTCAGATACGTGTTCATATTCATATTCTTGCCCAGATCATACCTAGATGTCACAAGTCTTGCTTAAACATATGTGGTGCATTTATTAGCACTAACAGAGCAGATACAGAGCAGATGTAGACATAGCAAATACAGAATAGATACAGACACGTGATGGTTATGAATAACCAGTTCCATAAAGAAACCTCCGAATCCGGATACAGAGAACAGATAAGCTAAGTCCCCATGACGGGGCCTCCAGTACGGGTAACAGAGTGCAGACAGATATAGGTTCCTTAAAGGAACCTCCGATACCAGGTAACAGCCAACAGATATCACATGATGCTAAGGATATCACGAATACATATCAGAAATTAGACAGTCATTCATTGTACAGAACATAGCACTTTAGAAAACAGATCTTATTTTATCACACAGAAAATAAATATAGTTAAACATAACTTTACTAAGTTATTACTCACAGTTGGCCTTGAGACAGACAGACGGACGGAACAGATTGGTAAAACAGTACGCGGCACGTGACCTACATGACACATAACACATACATACTTGAAACACACGTTCAAATTGTATATAACTTATGTCATTTGCTCTTAGTGTGTTTCTAACCTTTAATCCTCATTATGGAGTCTTAAACATTGCCTAGGATGGAATGAGAATGCAAAAATGCATTGGAAAACATTTCTTAAAACTTGCTGAAAATGAGTGTAACATGTCCGGGGGGTACCCGCACGCGTTAAACAGTTCAAACTCCCGAGATCTCTTTGATCTCAAGTTTCACGAGTGCAATGTGAAACGTAGATGAGAGTCCAGATTTGGCAACTTTTATTGAAAATCCATTTTATTGCAATTTTGTCAAAAATGGACTGCGTCATCAGATCTCAGAGTCGCCACCTAATATTTTGGGAAATTAGGAAACCCATGACTCGTGCCAAGGCCACTGTTCGTTGTAACCAAGGATGCTTGGCTCGGAACCTCAGGTATGAGAGAGGAAGGTCAATAATGAGCACCCCCGCTCACCCGATCAAAAGATTGGCCTCTACTAAACCATGATATGAATTTTATTTTCTTTATATGTTCATGTTCTATTATTTAGTAAATCCTAAAATTTACTATGTGAAGCATACAAGTATAGACTAGTTTGCTCAAATTGGAATAATTCAACTTCATGTTTGTTTTTCGAAAAGGAGTATGAATTTTCCACTTGACAAAGTCGGCTTAAAGTTTGTGAATTTGCCACTACAAAGTGGGCTTAAAACGTGCAATCTTTGAATCATTCTAATTTAAGCAACAAGCCTTCATCCACAGGCATTCAAACAGTTTATCACTTAAGCAAATAGCCTCATGGTAGAATGCTAGACATAGTAAGAAAAACACACACAAACGGGATGCTAAAACATAAAAACTTACATGTTTGACGTCCCACGAACAAGCTACAAAACAAAGTTAGTAAAATATGCATGATCTTATATACAAAATCCTAATGCAATTCACTCATGAGATGCAACTAAAGATTTGGCTTCTAAAATATGATATGTGAATCATCTCAAGAACATGAAGTAGTGCACATAATCACATAGGAATTGATTAAATCTACAAATGCAAACTTAGCCGAATCAAGATGCATGAAACATGGATGCAAAGCATAACTATGATGAAAAATAAATATGATGTTTATGTACAAATAAAGAAAGCAAGTTAAAGAACGGGATAAAAAGAAGCGGGGTGGGGAATTATTACAACATTTTAAAAAATAATTACAAACCAAATTAGAGAGGGATGAGGAGAATATTACAACAAAATAAAAACTCACAATACACTCAAAATAAAAAATAAATAAAATAAAAGCATCATGTTCTTTGGAACTGCCGGCGGAAATTGGTCAATTTTGGGATATTACGCTATCTTGTTCGGAAGAAGCTAACCGACCGGCCAACTAGGCCAAGCAAAACCTGTCTTGTTACGAAACTAAGAAAAGGAACAAACAAAAAATATGTAGGTGGCTCAACTAACCACTACCGGTTAGATTAAAAAAAAAAACAAGAAAACATATATAAAATAAAATAAAAAGTGCAAACTCACAACATAAACCTAAAGTAATAAAATAAATATAAGATAGAACATGCAAGATTACAACAAAACTAATATGAGACTAATACAAAAAAATAAATAAATATGAGATAGAACATGTAAGATTACAACAAAACTAATATGAAATTAAATCATGCGAATAGAAATAAATAAATAAATAATTATGAGCTAAACAAACCACTAGTATTATAACAACACACTATGAAATATAAAGTAAGAAAATAAATATGAGATAAACAAACCACTTAGATTATAACAAAACACTATGAAATAAGAAACAAGAAAATAACTATGAGATATAAAATATAAGAAAATGAAAGACTAAAAATTCACCTTCCAAAGAAAGATTGAACTTCTTGATTTCCAAACTTCCTCTTGATAACCCTCAAGTGTACGAAGTGTGTTCTCAAATCTTCAATTCGAAATTATGGAGTTTATGGAGTTTGTGGTATGGAAAGTGGCTAACTCTCTAGTTTTTCTCACTTTCAATCACTAAACACTCTTCCTTATGATCAAGGCAATTGATCTTTGGCTATATCAGAATTTTTGGAGTGGTTTTGGTGTATGGAAATGAGGAATTTCAGTAGCTATGGAAGGTATGGGGTGTATATGGAAGATAGGAATATTTTTGACTCAAAAACTCAATTTTTCTCTCTTTTTTCACTCTTTTCTCACTCCTTTCTCTTCAATTTCGTGGTCCTCATTCTCTCTTACAATACAATCATTCTATATAGGCAATGAGGGAGAGCAAAGGTCAAAAAGAAGGTGGGAGACAAGGTGGGAGACAAGAATGTGATAGGAGGGCAAATTTTCAAGGTTGTTGCATGGGATACTCCTTTTATGAATACAAACAAAACCTCTTTTTGACAATGGGGGATGATTAGGTATAATGGAGGATGAGTGGATGCACTTGAATGGCTCAGAAAATAGGTAAATGGGTTGTCCCAACCGAACCAAAACCAAGAAAAAATGGGCTATTGTTGTTTTGGGCCGAGTCAACAAAATCTGCTTTTAAGCCCAACTTCAAATAGGCATATCTCCCCCATATGGACTTGGTTTTAGGCGGTTCTTGGGTCCAAATTGAAGCCCCCAAAGTCTACTTTCCAATGGTGGTAGCCTCAAATTTAAATTCCAAGTGTACAAAGAGATATATTTAATTTATAAGGTATGCAATTTATGTTTTGAGTATTCAGTTTAGTACTTGATTTATATTTGAGAGATGTACTGACTTGATCGTCGGAGTGCCCCCGGGTGGAAGAACCACCGCCGGAGCTTTTTCTTTCTGTTACAGGTTGCCAAAGCCATCTATTCTGCCTGTGCTTTCCAGCTGATCACTAAACGGGCAGTGTGGTCAGATTTTCACCCACACAGTTGGGATTAAAACTTAAATTTCATCTTTCTTATTGAGAATTTTGTGAGAAACACATTCTAATTGTCATCATCGGGTAATCAAAAGAAAGCGCCCAAGTCTTAGGGCCGGTCAAAATGGGGTGTCTACACCAATCATACACACATATATAAACAAAGTCATAATATTTCAATGGTCCACATCGTATTGGTTACAAAACAAAACGACAACATAATAATTACCACCGTTTATCCTCTAGTCACAAACAAGATAACCAAAACTAATTACCGAAAACAGCTATCTCTCCACCAATACCACTATCACATTCCTAACCAGAGTGTTGACACGGGTTGTTCTCAACCCCTGGAACACTCCCAAAACTATGACGCCGAGGACAAGAGCTACAGACGTGACCTAGCTGGCTACACTTGAAACAAACACGCATCTCTCCACTCTGAGGGTAAAAGTTCGACCCTCCTATAGCCCTCGAAGTCTGGCCTACTCGGTTCTGGTATTGGTATCGCCCCTGGTCGGACAAATAAGGCTGAACCTGACTAGATTGCAAATTACCCAAATAAGTTCCCGATTGCGTAAAAAAAATGCCTAATATGACCCGGTTGGTTACATGCATAACAAATAGGTGGCCCTTGAAGATGTGACTAGCTTGAAGCCTGAACTGGTAGGATCCCAATAACTACTCCTCCTATGAGCACTCACTTACCTCAAGTCCCCGATTGGCTAGATGATCTAGTTGGTGCAACTATTGGTTGAGGCAATAACCTTGCCCTTCTCTTTTGGCTCTTACTAGGTCTACCACGACCCCAAGCTGTAAGAGTTGCTGAAGTGGCCTCATCCCCACTCTGTCCCATGACTAATACTCTGGCCTCTATGTAAGCCGCTGCTTCCACAAGCGCACGATAATTCCTATGCCAAGGCCCAATAATCCTTCCCCGAACATCATCACATAACTTATTCTCAAACTCTGCACAACAGAGCTCCTTGGTTTCCACCAATTCCGGAGCGAACTTTTACAGATTGGTAAACCACACCTCAAATTGTGCCAATGGTGTAGTACCTTGGTGCAACTTTAGAAATTGCCTCCTCAATTCTTCTTGTGTGGAAGGAGGAAAGTCGTCACTTCCTCGCCTAGACATCCTAACCAAAACAAGCACAACAAATTTAGTATATATCTAAATGCACCCCTACAAAATCTCATACATTTTAGCATTAAACACACAATACATTCCACATAAGCACTTAGTCACATAGTCACACACGAATTACATTCTTCAGATAAAATTTGTTCTACAAAACCCCAAGAATTCCTATTAGAACAAACATTGATCAAGTGTCCTTTTAATAAGACCTCTAAGTGTTTAACAGACACAAATCATATCCTAAGGATCCAATTCCATACCTACTTAGCCACATAAACATGTTATCATTTAGCGTACTAAGCATACAAATGTCCTTACTGAGCATGGTAAACCCATTATGGCCAACCACTTCCCGCGAGCCCAAGCCTTTCAAACGTGGTTAGCTTTGATACCAAGTTGTCATGTCCTGGATTTACATGGTCCAACCCACGTGAATTAACCACCCAATGATAAACAATATATAACAACTCTCATGCAGATTGATATAAAATAGTCACACAATACATGTGTTTGTTCAATTTCATACATTCCCAAATATAACAATCTAAATCGAATGGATGTTCTAAACTAAAACATGCAAAGGTTTTATAAATTAAATTGAAATGCCCAAAGGCTTACATCAAATACAAGGGTGTAACCCTTACAGGAATGGCATACGGCCAATAAATAACATGAATGGCTCATGGTTTACAAAAAGAACCACACTACACAATTCCAACACAACTTCATGTCTCGGTAGAGAATATTTCAAAAAGCTAAATATGCTTCGCTAATGTAAATGATCATGATGCAATACATACATGCAATATACCCAAATGCATTTTCTAAATCCGCTTGCTTTCTCAACAAAATCTATTCTTTCCAGTTACCAAAACCTTACGTTTATTCAAATATTTCCCGAGTTTACAACATCTTTTTGAAACAAAAGAAAAATCCATTTCCAAAAACAAATCCTGGTATCTCAATACCAATGAGCAAATACATTGCCAAATCAATGTGAACACATCTCTAAACAACCGCAATTACATTGCTAAAACCGTTTTCAAAACATTCCTTTTCAAAACCAAAGAGATAATAAATAAAATAGGTAAATTTCTAGGGTTAGTGTTCAAAATAATAACTATACAAGTCACTATGTCATTTTTATCGATAGTAATCAGAAGGCTCGACACCTGCTGCTCGGGTTAGGTCTTACACCAAGGACACACATGCCAACTTAATTTTGCTTTAACACCCCCTTTACTGCTTTACCATTTTAATTACCATTTTACAATAACACAATACACAAGATCCAAAGTATAATTTTCAAAATGAAACGAATGTTCTTAATACATAACATGAGAATTTCCAAAATAGCCTTTTACAAAATACACAGTTCCAGTTCCAAAATCCCTTTCAAAATCCATGATATGCATGATTCATAAATAGTTCAGTTTGCCTAGTCCACATACATTTTCCAACTGTGGACTCGTTTTTTTCTCGCGCCCCGCCTTTTGGAAAGGCTTGAAAAGAAAGGCCTTACAGTTGGAACTCCCGTGGTTCTAAATCTAGTCTCACAAGTGCAATATGAAATTGATAAACACCAAAGAGTCCAATCCGGCAAATCTTTTTAGAAAATCAATTTTAAATCAAATAATGCCAAAATTGGACTGCTTTTCTAAATACAGAGTCGCCACCTAAATATTTTATTTTTGGAAAAATTTAGGAAACCCTGACTCGTGTCAAAGGCCACGTGTCCATCATCACCAAAGTTGCCTCGGCTCGGGAACTTGGGTATGAGGGGGGAAGGTCATGAATTGAACACCCCCGCTTGTCCGATCAAAGATTGGCCTCTACTAATCATGATATGATTTTTTATAAACATTATGTGTTCTTATTCCGGTTATTAAACTAGTTTTACTATGTGATGCGCACAAGCAAGTATAGACTAATTTGCTCAATTTGGAACAATTCAACTTATGTTTGTTTTTGCGAAAATGGTTTGAAATTGCCACCTCAAGTGGGCTTAAAACACACATTTGTTGAATCGTTCCAATTCAAACAACAAGTCTTCATCCACAGGCATTCATGCAATTTAGCATTTAAGCATATAGCCTCATGGCAAGCACGCTAGATATGGAAATCACTTACACTCATGTAAGTATGCTAAAGCATAAAAACTCACCTAGTACTCTAAGCTAAAACAAAAACTAGTTAGAAAGATGCATGATCCTAACTATACAGGATGCCTAATGCAACGCATGCAATATGCAATTAATAGGCTCAACTACTAATATGGCATATGAATCGGTTTGAACAACATGTGATTAAACACGTATTCAAATAAGATATTGAAATGACAATGCAGTTTGAATGATGCGCTAAGCCTCGGTATATGTAAGACAAATGAATGGATGCAAGCATGCGATATGCTAATTGAAAAAGTCCCTAATCTAACCATCGAAAGTGATTAAATAAAAGGGAGAAAGACGTGGGGTTGGAAAATATACATACACACACGCACACTTATTACAACATTACACCCTCGTGAAGGAGGGTCCGAATGAATAAGCGCTAACTAGCTACGCTAATTAAGCTAACTATTACAACACTTGAAATGAATTAACTAACTATTCTAAGCTAACTAAAGCAATTAAATAATTAACTATCTAAGCTAAGCTAATTAAATAGTTACAACACTTGCATGAATTAGCTACCCCTAATCAGCTAAGCAAAGCAACTAAATGGCCTCGGGGGGTGAGGTACATATGCATGCTCGGTTGGTTTCCACCTGAAAATGCCACTGCCTCACTGTTGTAAGACTCTGTTTGCACACTTGAACACCAAAGAAGCTACCAACTTCCAGAACACCTCTGCTCCCCCTTTCCATCACACTGAGCAATTTC